AAATAAATTTAAATTAGCATATCATATAGAAGGGGTTTAGTGAATAAGACCAATCTTAAAACAGAATTTAACTTTAATACTATAATAATAAATATTTTAATATTTTAATAGTTTTATTATTTTAAAATGATGAAATTTTATTATTTTAACTAATTTTAAATATAGATATGGAACATCCTTGATTTTTAAATAACATACTAAAGACATATTTTATTATTTTTTAAGTGGTTTGAAGTCTATCAAATATATAAACAATTGCAGAAAGAGTCATGTACACTACATAATTATAACTTTCAAGAAAAAATATTTAAGGTATAATTAAGATAGCAACACGATTATCTTCAACTATTCCTGTTGTACCCTTACAATTTTTACAGAGCTTTATTTTTCACAGCATAATTTTTTCATTATATGTAATATTTAACTTTATAATTTAACCCAAAAAAATTAAAGTGATATCATTTACTCAATTTAAAAATAAAAATAAAAATAAATTTTTTGATGTAATTTAATATTAAAATATATGTAAAAATTATTACCACATGTTTGTTTATTTTCAGCTTTTTTTTTATGATATTAAATAATTAGCTACTATTAAACAGGTTTAATCATACTAATACTATACTCTTATTACTTAATTTGAAAATATAAAATTTATATTTATACACAAAAAAAATTCTAAATATTTAATTCAACCTTGATTTAAAGTAAATTAAAGTAATAATTTTTGGGGGTTTATATATCCCTACAATTTAGTATACAATAATAAATTTTATTATTTCATAATACTACAATTACTATAGTTTAGATAAAATTACATATAGCTATATTATGCTTTTCATATATATCTAAATATAGAATTTATAACTCTAAAATTTATGATTTTTTGTGATTTTAAAATAAAACAATTAAGACATTAAAATTTTGTTTGTTTTTTTACTTAAGTAACAATAAACAAGAGTAGTGAGTTGTTGCACATTAACAACTATACATTTTTGCTCTTGCAATAATTCTTGGTGATTTATAAAAAACTATGAAAAAAAAGTATTAGTTATAATATTAAAATTATATATATATATATATATATATATATATACACACACATATATAATCATGGTTTATTCTAGTCATTGATTTAATCTTCTTACATATCAATTATATATCATATATGGATTAAAATAATTTGTTGTTGGAAATCAATGTATATTATATTTTTCTTTTAAAGCAAGGTTAAGAGTCTTTTCTTTTTACTCAAAGATACTTAACAATACATTGGGGTTCTACTTCTATGATAAAAAAATATATCTTTATATGTTGTATATTCATGCTGTGATAAGATATCTTATATCAAAATAAAGCACTTACTCTATATATAATGTAAAATGTCTTTTTAAGTGGAGGTAAAAAAATATTTTTTTGTTTTTTGTTTTTTGTTTTTTATTAAATAGTCCATTTAATGCTATTAACTTCTTTAGATTGATGAATAAAATAAAAATATACAATATACAATAAAGCTAGAATATCTTTTGCAATGTTATAATAATTTAATTTTAAAAGTCAGATCGTTTAATTTAATTTAATTCTATATACTAAAAACTTTATTCTTTACTTTTTATTTTTATTTTTAATCAATTAATTCGTTTTCAATTCGCAAACATTGTTATAATTTTTAGCTACAGGAGAAAATTAATTCAATTCTCCTTTGAAGATCTTAGAGATTTATATATAGATAAATGTTTTATATTCATATATAAAATGTATATATAGTGCTTTATTAATTTTTTTGTGTTGAAAATCAAAAAGAAGTAATTTATCTTAAGTCGAGATTGATTTAAACAATGTAATATTAGTTGTATAAAAATTAAAGATTAAACTCATCAAAACGAGTTTTTTATGAGATCTGATTTCAAGATTATTATTATCATTTTTTTGTTGGAATAATTATTGAACATAAATATTAAAATCTTTACATACCCACTATTCCTTTGAACCTCTCCAACTTATTAAAAATGATACGATATAAATTAACATTATGTTGTTCACTACGACTTTTGTTGAAGTCTAAAAACTTTCATCTATTCAACATGTAAGTTTTATCTACTGGATGTAATTAAAATTATAGTTGATTAAGTTTTAATTTGTGAACTCAAATTTTGTCATTGTATAGATTTAAAAAAAATATGTATCAAATAATAATAATAATAATAATAATAACAACAACAATACATAGAATGCATTTACATAAATCAAAGTTGGTTTTTATCTGTTGAAATTGCTCTTTCCGCATGTTAATGTATAATAAATCAAGCATAATAAAATAAAAATAAAAAAATAAAACCCATCCTGCAGTTTATTTTGCATCTACAGTAGTATGACATTTAACCCAAAAATACCACCTATATTTTTAAAGTAACGACCAAGTTTTGAATTCAATTCTAAAATTTGAATGTCTTACATTTTAGGATGAAGTACAAACCTGCAGAAGAAAAATTAAATTAAATTAAAAGAGAAAAAAGTAAATAAAACAACATTAAAGAATATTATGGTGCGCAAATATTTTCTAAACAAGTCCTTTAACATGCCAAAAAAGAAATACGACAATCAAAATGCCACGTAATTCTATTATCCGTAATGCACATGATTCAGTAAGTATTTAGTTTCCAAAAATAATTCAAATAAACCAAGTATGAAAATAGGATATTGTAAATTAGAAATAGGGTTGGAAAAACACTACTGTGACAATCAATTATGAATTAATTGTAAATTTTTGTAACTTTATTTTTTAAGTAATTAGGGCTTAGCTGGCTGATTGTATGAATACTTATTTGTCACTTAATTTATTGTGGATGCCAAGTTACTATTTCTAATGAGTGCAAACTTTTTCAGACAAAAAAGACAATCAAGCGCTTTACTGTATTTGTTTAATTAAGTGATTTTTATTTAATCATTTATTTATTGTTTTGCTCTATTTAGTGTGGAAAGTTGCTGACAACAATTTGAAAACTTTTCTTCCATAATCCACGTTATCATGCTGCCAGGTGTTTTGATGGGGTCCCGCATAAATTAAGTGCTTGTAAGTATCCACTTCCACCACTTTTATTGTTGTTTTTACATTTTCTTTTTTCTTTAATTATATTTTTTTTATATGTTAATCAATGTTAAACACTATGTACATTAATGTAGTGGTATATATAATATATTATAATACTCTTACCTTATCTTGACAGAGAGAAATTAAAAATATTTTTGTATATATATATATATATAGAATATAATGGATCAACTTTTCATGTTTGATATGGACAATTCAATTATGAATGTTGGACATTCAATAATGAATTTGTGATATCATAATGACCAATGATTGTTTATTTATTTTTACAACAATGAAGTTATTCTTGCAAAATAGTTTGATTTTTTCCTTGTAAATAGTCAAGAATTTTGGTTTGCAATTCTCTGTAAATTAGAATTCAGTGCAAACTCCATGAAATTGCAAACCTGCAGTGCTCATTTGAAATTAAATCATCGTTTTCAAAATAAATAAGAATAAAAATAATTTTGACACTTGTATAAATAAATTTGATGGGTTCTTTTAAATTAGTAAAATTCCATTAATCAATAATTAATTTCCTTTCTAAAAAGTTCATCAATTAACAGACTAAAACGACACACTTAAAAAGTTAGCCAAGGTGCAAATTTTAAGGTCAGGCACCATTTTGTATTTATATATATATATATATATTTATTTATTTATTTATTTGCTAAAGTAAGATACACATACCAAGATTTACGTGACAAGCATTCATTCCATTTGCATAAGAAAATGGCCACTGCAACCAATCTCCACACTATTTTCCATAATGTGCTTCACAAAGTAGAACTCTCATTTGAGGTGTTGTCCCAGATGCCAATTGAAGAAGAAACATTCAGATCCGTAAAGTTTCATGGAGACCTCAAAAAGTTATTAGCAACATTAAAAGAAAAAGATTTCACACCACCACTTGCAAAGTTACAGGAAATGAAAAAGAAAAGGACTGACTTAAAGAGAAGGAGAAGGAGGAGAAGAAGAATCTTGAAGGAGAGGTGAGAGTGAGTGAGTGTTCTCCATGTTACCCTTGTTCCCAAACCTGCGAACCCGTGTTCTCCATGAATGAGTTTGGAACCAACCAATCAGCTGCCACGTCCTCCAGGAAAATTACCCTCCTCAATTACCCGAGTAGCACGGATGGATGGATGCATGCATGTGAGTAAGTAGCACACAAATGGTTTTTAACAAGAGGGTCATAGTATTAGTTTACCCCCCCCCCCTGGTGACTTTTACTTTTTGATAACACGACGATATCAAATACTGGGAGAGAAGAGGAGGGAAGGGGGAAGGGAAGGGAGGGCCCATCAAACTCAACCTGTGGAAAGAAAACACAGTGGCATCCACGCTGCTTTAAGGCTCCAAAACACCCCCACCTCTCCAGTAAGTAACTAGTTATTTATTCTCCCCCGCTTAAGTAAGTAGGTCATTCATTCCATTCTATTCATTCATTCGTTCCATTCATTCGTTCCATTCATTCGTTCCTTCCTTCCCAAGTCAAGCTGCCATGAAGGAGAGACCCCACGTTCTCGACCCCCCATGCTCACAGCGCACTCAACTCACTCCGAGGCTGGCCTGCCTGCCTGCCTGGCTCGGCATCCAAACCCCCAAGAAAACCAGTGCGACGGGGACGGACGAACAGACGGACGGATGCCAAAGAACGAACAAACGAACGAACGAGCCATCAACGGAGCCTCATCGACGACGACGACGACAAATGCTAGTGATCGTTGGCTGTCGCGGGGGCGCAGCATTCGAATCAACCCGTGCCGAGCACGGGTCAGCGGCGACCATGTAGCCGTGGTGGCCTATAGCAACTCTACACCCGTGGGCTCGACTGCGGGGGGCGGGGGTGAGGGGGGTGCATGGCAGCCGGGCAAGGGCAAGGGCAAAGGGCGCGCCGCGCCGGGGTTGGGGGGTGAGTTCCTTCGTCGTCGTCCTCCACTCCACCCTTCTACCCCTCTCTACCCCGGTAGTGCAGTGCTGTGGAGCGCAGGGGGTGAGCAGAGCAGTCGTCCATTTCGGGTCGGGGTAACAGCAGGAATAATCACGATAACCAGGAACACGAAGCCATCATGTAGGAGGAGGAGGAGTTGGAAGAGAAGGAGCACGGAAGACGACGACTGCGACCAAGACTAGACATCAAAGAGGAGGAGCAGGAGCAGGAGGACGAGGAGGAGGAGGGAGGAGAGAGGAAGAAGAAGGGAGGAGAGAGGAAGAAGAAGGGAGGAGAGAGGAAGGAGAAGGGAGGAGGAGGAGGAGAAGGTGGACTCGGAAGAGGAGGTGGAGCTGCTGCAGATGGTGGCTATGGCGACGACGGGGGAATTTGCAATGGCGTGTTTCATGTAGAGGGTAGAGGCGAGTCGACACACAGAGAGGCGAGGGAGCCGCGTGCTTCTTATTGCGCTTGCCTGCCATGGCCGCAGGGACAGTGGGAATGGGCCCCCATAGAGCGCCGGACTCGCTGCGCCGCTTGCTGGTAAGCTCCATCGGTGGTGAAATCCTAGTTGGGAAATGGCCGGCGGTGTTTGTGATTGAGATTGTTTTTCGCATGCGGACGAGAAGACAGAGGAGGCGGATCGTGGGTTTTTTGTTGGTTTGGGGTCTCGGATAGTGGGTTCTGTGGGTTTGGGGGCGACGGACACTGGGATTCTGGCAGCTGGAGGATTTGAGGGGTTCAGGTTTTTGAACTTGCGAGTTCTTTTTTGTGGTTACTTTTTTAATTTTTTTAATGTTTTTTTTATATTTTTGTGGTTTGTTTTGTTTTCCATTTTGTGGAGGGGTGGTGTGAGTTCGGAGATTAGGGGATTAAGGAACTGAGATTGGAAGGAGGAAGAGGCAGAGAGAAAAAGAGAGAGAGAGAGTAGAGGGTGGGAGCGTGATTTCAGGGGTTGATTGGTGTGCAGGAAGGATCTTCACAAAATCTGGCGAAGCATGTGGAAGAGGAGGCGCGGGACTTGGGTGGGGAGGCCTTCACACGGTTTATGGATAATCTGTATGATAAGATTCAAACTCTAGCGGAGAGTGATGAAGTTAGGGATAATCTGGCATGTGTTCGTGCCATACGCGAACTCATAGATTTGCAGCTTGGAGAAATTGCCACGAAAATTGCAAAATTCGCCAGCAACCTGCGGCATATTTTCGAGCACAAGACGGACAGCGAGGTTCTGGTCAATGCTAGCAGGGCACTCGGCCACTTGGCTGCTACTGGCGGTGCTCTTACTGCTGATGTTGTTGAATACCAGGTAAATTGCTTCGCTTTTCAGTGACAAGCTCGAAAGCCCCAAACTACATTCACGGGTTAAGCTGCAAGTCAATTTTCACATTACATTAATATGCCGCATAAATCCTGACTCTTTAGTTTATTTGTGATGGGTTAACGGTTGAACTCGTAATCCTCCGATCTATGGTTCTGAAATGGAAATGGGGGGGGGGGTTTACGGTGTTTAAAGATTTAGGAATTAAAGTGGATCTTTCGTGTGTACCTTTCTCAGCTTGCAGACTGGGCCAGTTTTTAGAATAATACCGTGTTTCTGAGGGTAGTAACTCGTTGGCAACTGTGGGTTGCTTCGTACTCTAGAAATGATTCTTCGCTGGCTAAGCGGTTCAGACATGAAATAGAGAGATACAGTTTCGGCACATTGTGCTGGTCACGGTTCCAATATAGATTGTCCTTCTCTTAACGTTTCCTCAAACCTTCCTGCAAGGTATGGTGTGTACTTAAGTATTTTCTCCAAAATCAATTATTTAGACTCGGATGGTTCTGTAGCTGACACCATAGCGCTGTGTTCAAAATGTGTCATGTAAAAACTCCAGTCAAAGCATCGGATTTAGTATATTACTGAATCCGAAAATGATCTTGTTCGTTGTTGCCGGAGTATTGCAAATGTCGCAATGCTATTTTATTTGCGCTCTTTGTTCCTAGTCGGTATGTCGTACACCGCATTACACGTGATGAAGTGTTAATGTCTCCGTTCGTAGCTGCAGAAGTTAGACGATAGTTCCACCCTATTATCATATTTGAATCCGAATCATTCCGGTGTGTTGTCAAAATTGGACCTGAAGAATAGGGTTTGAGATATGCTTTCAGAACCCTAACTAAATCACACCTTTGAAACCTTTTTTTACGTAGCTCATTGCACAAACCTGCTGAATAAGAGGCTTGCGACGCTCGATGCCTATGTGAAGGTGGAGCGAAGGTCTTTACAGTTGGCCGAGGTCCTGCTAACTGTGCTTGATTTAGCTTTAGTTCGACTCTCAGTAATATGAAGTACTTTACCATCGTCAGCCTCGTCATGTTCGAATTTTGTATTATTTTCTGCGTTGTGTGTCATCTGATACAGGGTGACATACACTTGTCTTCAGGTCAAGAAATCTTTGGAGTGGCTTCAAGAACCGCGTGTGGAGAATCATCGTTTTGCTGCTGTTCTAATTTTGAAGGCATGTAACTTCACCTGTTCTGCTCTTAGTTTCTTCCCAGGTTCTGCATGGTTAGCTCATCTGGTCATTTTTTTATGTGATGTTGCAGATGTTGCAGTTATCTTGTCTAGGACTACGTTAAATACGAATTATCTTGTCATTGCATTTTCTTGGTGTGGTGAAAGAACTGGTTGCTGGCGTGAAATGATCTTGTTCTGTGGTGGAATCCTCTAAGAAATGTAAGTGATTGCGGGGATGGTTTATGAACAATGACCAAAAACTATTCCAACGGTCTGTCACAAGTGGCCAAAGAAAGTTAGGCTAAATGCCCTCAGTTCTTTCCGAGGTTGACAAAGAACAAGATAATTCTAGCGAAGGAATAAGCTTTATGCACACTGTAAAGGAGATTTATCTGTCTGTCCTCGATTGTCATGCAGGAAATGGCAGAGAATGCCCCGACAGTGTTCAATGTGCATGTCTCGGACTTTATAGAGGCCGTTTGGGTGGCTTTAAGGGATCCAAAAATGCAAGTCCGAGAGGCTGCTGTTAAGGCCTTGAGAGCCTGTCTTTGTGTTATTGAAAAGCGTGAGACTCGGTGGCGCGTTCAATGGTAAGTTTGGGTCATTGAGTATTGTACTTCGTTCTTGTTTCTTGATATCTTATTCTTCTTCTTCTTCTTCTTCTTTTTTTTTTTTTTTTTTTTTTTTTTGGTATATTTAATTGATGCACTTGGTTCAACTTGATTTTATGTCTTATATTTTTGTTATGGCCTCTTCTGATTTAGTTTATTGTTGTGTTTGGAAAGTGCCAGCTCGCTTTCTCTTCTCTTGTCGTTGATTATTGACGGTTATTACAGCTCTTAGGATTCTGCAGCGCATCTATATTTTACCAGATTACCCATAAATGTGTTGGCAGGTATTATCGCATGTTTGAAAGAACCCAAGATGGACTTGGTCCAAGTGCAAGTGTGGAGAGTATTCATGGTTCTTTGCTTGCAGTTGGGGAGTTGCTACGGTGAGTATGGAATTGTACTCTGTTATGCTTCTCACCATACTTGGTAGTCAAAATCTGGAAATGATCCTAGAGTTGCCCCTGGATTTTCTCTTTTAAATTCTACCACTAGCAACGTAGTCATTATTTTTTAAATTTTTATTTATGTTTTTGTCATGGAGCAGGAACACTGGAGAATTCATGATGTCTCGCTACAAAGAAGTAGCTAGTTTCGTGCTCAAGTACCGTGAAATCCGCAATCCATTAGTGCGACAGAGCATCACTGCATTGTTGCCAAGGATAGCTCACTTTCTTCGTGATCGCTTTGTGTCATCTTATCTTAAGGTGAGGCAGAACATCCAGCAACTTTAGTATGCTGAAGTCAGGTATCTTTAGGGCTGTGGTGGTATGGAATACTCTACAGTTTTTGGGTGGTTTATTTTGAGTGTGCATGTTTTTGTATTGTTCCCTATGTGAATTGCAGCGTGTCATATAATGACTGTTACCCTTCGATGGGGGTGGGGGTGTGTGGTTGTGATGATGGCGAACAGATATGTATGGATCATTTGTTGAATGTCATGCGTAAAGCTGATGAGCGTGAAAGTGGGTTTCACGCATTGGCTGAAATGGCTAGTGCTGTTGGCAAGGAGTTGAAAGAATACCTGCCTATTATTATGAGCATTTTGAAGGATGCGGTGCGAATCCTATTTTGCTGCCACTTTGTTTCAATTTACTGATTTTATGCCAGTGTTGAGCCGTGTCGTTCAAGATGTAAATCATTTATATCTAGGAGTAATGTCCATGTTGTGTCCTTTTTTTAAATGGTTCAAGTTCTGGAAGAAATGTAGGTAGGCTTATTGAACTGTTCAACTGGCATTCATTGGGTACTTATCTTTCGACTGTTATGTGAGAAACTCCTTGTGCAGATAAATCCTCCTCGTCGTGGACGGCCTTCCCTAGAGGCAGTAGCCTGCGTTGGTGCTCTTGCAGATGCCATTGGACCAGACATGAAGCCTTATGTTGAGGGTTTACTTGATTCCATGTTTGCTTTGGGTCTTACTCCTACTCTTGTGCATGCTTTGAAGCAGATATCTTCCAGGTATACGCTAATATTATACAAAACAGGATACCTTTTGATATCAATATTGTTGTGAGTTTACGTATTTTAAGCTTTACTGTATGGTGTAACACCTAGTCACATAGGAAGAATTTCTACGCACAGAATGTCTAACGAATGGGTCTGCGTGCTTCTTGTTGCATTCAGGATAGATTCCTTGTTACCAGTGATTCAAGAAAGACTTCTTGACTCTATTTCATTTGTATTGGCCAAAACGCCGTATCGGACAACACGAGGAGTTACTCCTGTTGTGCGGCCCTTGAAAAATGCATGGATGCCTTCTACTATGGACATTTCGGGACCCGCTTTAACTCAGCTCGCACTGAACACTCTAACTAACTTCGATCTTCGGGTGCGTTTGACCATTTCACTTGTCAAGGGAAGGTTTATTTCAATTGGCGTAGTGAATTGGGTTTTCAAGTAATTAGGCAGCTATATTTATGTCTGTTCAATTATATTAGTTCACTGACTATATTCATTGTATCTAAAATATAATTCTCTCTTGAATGGACTCCTTGGATCACCTCACTTTGTTCATATAATTTTGTAGATAATGTACTTTGTTGTGTTATCGTTTGTACTTCGTATCATGGAATCAAGTATGGAGGTTTTGGATTTAATGCCGAATATCCTTTAATGGGAGTTTTTGTTTATGTTTTTGGTCTTTGGACTTATTGTGGAAAGGGTATGTTTGTGGACAGGGTCATGAACTTTTGGAATTTGCGAGAGAGGCGGTTATTGTGTACTTGGAGGATGATGATGCAGCTACTAGGAGAGAGGCTGCTGAGTGTTGTTCTCACCTTGTGGAACACTCTTCTAAGATTGTTGAACTTATTGCCATTACACCTGTAGTTGTAAATACTCGCAGTGGTCGCACCACAGGTGTAGGGATACGCCGCCGACGACTTCTTATTGAAGAGGTTGGTGCGGCCAATGCAAGTTCTCTTAATTTGTGTCTCAATCAATAAGCACCGGTATGGAAGAGTGATTGGAAGCAGCTTGGTTAACCCCTGATCATTTTTGTAACTTCTGCAGATTCTCGAGAAGCTGTTAGTAGCAGCTGTGGCAGATCCTGATGTGGGTGTAAGGAAAACAGTGTTTTTGTCTTTACACAAATACCACAGTTTTGACGAGTATCTCGCCCAGGCAGACAGCCTTCGGGCAATCTTCATTGCCCTTACAGACGAGGTTTGTGTTTTAATTTCTTGGTCTAGATTCGCACCTTGTATTTGCTGGACCTTCTGCTATTAGTTTATTTTTTCTGACCTGTGTAAGTTAGACTTTGAATTAGCATGTCAATGTAGTGGAATTGTTGTTTCGTTGCCCAAGATGATCGTGAGGTGTTGGGTTATGAGTTGGTAGTTGAACGTGTTAGATAGAAGTTGCGTTGTTAAGCCGCATTATGGTGCACTTACCAGACATCAGAAGAATCATGTGTAGGGGATAGCTGTTTTTTCCCTGATAAAATGGGTCTGGTTTAGTCTCGTATTAGTTTGAATTCACATTTAAAATGAGACAGAGGGATAACATGATATTTTTTTAAGCATGGCTCCTAATTATAAATTGTGCTTTGTGACTTTATCATCAAATTCAAGGCTTATGAAGTGCGGGAGCTCACTATAACCATGGCTGGTCGTTTGGCTGACCATAATCCAGCATATGTACTTCCAGCATTGCGTCGACATCTTGTTCAGCTCCTGACAGATCTTCGACACAGGTGAGCGACTCCCTCAGGAGCTGTGATGAATTTTGCAGCCTGATTCTGCCTCAGTAGCTAACATTTATGATGCTGCCACAATGGCCATTCTTAGTGAAATTTGCTTATATGTGTTTAAAGTGATGCCTCGTTTAGATATGATCAATATGAGCCTGATTTTGGGCCGTCTTTTTCCTCAAAGCTGAAATTTGATATTCTGTTCTTGCTGTGTTGGGGATGTTTTTGGTAGTGCTGACAGCAAGAGTAGAGAAGAAAGCGCAAAGCTGCTTGGCTGCTTAATCAAGGCTTGTGAACGGCTTATGGGTCCCTACATAGATCCGGTTCTGCGGGTGAGCTTTGCCGAGATTTGTTGAAGGAACACGTATTAAGATTCATGGCTTCAGTCGGGATCATCTTTTTTTAGATTCGCCTTTTTGTATTAGTTCTCTCACCTTCGTTCTACGTTGCAGACCCTATTGGAAAAGTTACAGGAAGGTTCTGTTGGAACTGGAAATAACGGTGTCATTGCTGGGGTCCTCGCAACTGTCGGGGATCTTGCCAAAGTGGTATGTGACTGTAACATCAGAGACCTTTTGTTAGGATGTTTCCGTTATATTCTTTCAAGTTAATTAAATGTTCAAGTTAAAATCAAAGTGTTGCAACTCTGGCTTGATTATCATTTCACATTGTAAGCACTGCCAGATGGTGATATCCAAATCTTGGGAATAAATTGTGATTCTTAGAATTTAATAATCCTTTTTGTTTGCATGATTAGGGTGGTTGTACGTTGAGACGTTATATGCCTGATCTAATGCGTCCAATAGTCGAAGCACTTATGGACGGTACATCATTCAGCAAGCGTGAAGTTGCAGTGGCAACCTTGGGTAAAGTTGTTGAAAGCACTGGGTAAGTTGTCGCATCACCTGTTGCGATTGTAGAAATAGTTGAGAACTTTGATCGACAATTCACGTGAAGTCAATTATGTACTGAAAGCACATAGTTTTCCATGATGAACATGACTCACTGAGGAGATTAAAAAAGTGACATATGTGAAAGTGGTCCATGACATCAGAATAATTTAATCTTTTAGCTATGAAACATCGCAATGTGCGAATTACCACTTGGTTCTTTCTTGGACTTATGCTGACTTTGGCGCGTGGAGCCTGGTAGAGGTTTTTAAATGGAAAAGTATTAGTGAAGCAAGGCTTTCGATCAATATTCACCCTAGCGCATCGTTATTCGGAAGTGTTAATCGACAACAAGCTTTCACGAACTCATATGGAAGTATAGTTAATGTGGGAACTCCATATTTATATATGTATTTTTCTCCCTATTTTGCAGATATGTTGTGCGTCCTTACACGGAGTTTCCACACTTGCTGGGTCTACTTTTGAGATTACTCAACAGTGATCTTTCAGATTCAGCCCGTAGAGAAGTGCTCAAAGTTTTAGGGATAATAGGTGCTCTTGATCCTCATCAACACAAACGAAATCAGCAGTTCCTTCCAGGTCCACATGGAGAAGGAGCTCGGGTTAATGGAGCTGAAAGCGGAACTCATAATGCTCAATCCCTGGAGGAGGTGCCTGTCGAGCTTCTTCAATCTGGGGGTCTTTTAACCACAAATGAAGACTACTTTCCTACAGTACGTGTTTTTTGTGTGTCTAAAATGATGTTGATGTTTAGCAAGTCTAATCATATATCTTAGCTTCTTGTTCCGAGTTAGTGTTCGATATTTTGCTGAATTTGTTCTGCGAGACTTCTGATGACCAATCTCGTGTGTTTCTCAGGTGGCCATCAAAGCTCTGCTGCGAGTTCTTAGGGATCCCACTTTGTCCAGTTACCATCACAGGGTAGTAGGTTCCTTAATGTACATATTGAAGGTATCTGTTGCACTCATCTCGCTGTCGCTTTATTGTAGTATTTGTTCATCTTTTTGCTTGAGAAGGCAGCTAATCCTGTCCACGTTGTATCTTAATTCATGCTGTTTTTTTCCTTCCAGCTCAGATGTTGGATAGAAAATTGAGTATGATGTCAAGGTTTTGAGGGAAGATTGGGCGGTTGGATCTCTTCGGTATATTTCCCGTCTAATTTTAAAAATTTGTCTTGCTTGCAGTCAATGGGACTTAGCTGTGTTCCCTATCTTCCCAAGGTTTGTGCCAACCCATTCTTACAGGCCATGTTCTGAGTTTACATTATGTACTGAATCACTTCTTGTGATGTTTTGTTGCAAGTGAAGTCTCTGATTGCTGCTGATGTCTTTAAGCACCTTGGTCCAGGTCCTTCCTGAACTCTTTTTTACTATACGAAATTGCGAAGATGTCCTCAGAGAATTCAGTTTCTGGCAACTTGCTTCTTTAGTCAGCATTGTACGCCAGGTGGGAGTCCTTACCCGTACTTCAGATTTTTACTTTTTTTGGTCCTGTAATATACGTAGAAGGAAAGCTTGAGGTTATGAAGGCAGGTTGGAAAGATTCACGTATTTAGCTGACGAATATGTTTAATGTTCTATTCTGAAAATTTCACTTGCTGTGCTTTTACGATCCATTCGAACATGACCATCTTTATTTTTGCTCTCGTGGCTGCAGCATATTAGAAAATATCTTGGTGAGATTCTCAAGCTAGTGCATGAATATTGGAACCTGTTGATGCTCCCTCTTTCACCGAGAACGGGTCCTTCAATGCTACATACGAATGCTAAGGCAGGCAATATTTCACCGGTCAGTATCCATCCTCATGTTTCTAATATATGTTCGTGGTCATTTTGACCGTTGTGTGATCTTGATTCTTTAGTCAGTGTGTGATTTATGCAATAGGGTAACCAGACCAAATGTAAGTTTCGTTTCTTGAATGCTCGTAATGGAGTTCAAATTCATCGACTTACATCTGAATTGCTGTTATTCAGGTGTTGAATCTAGTGGAACAGCTTAGTTTAGCATTAAATGATGAATTTCGGGGATACTTGCCGGAGTTTTTACGCCTTTGTGTTACTGTTCTTACTGATGCTGAGCGCACTGGTGATTACAAGAAAGTACCCCCTGTTCTACATACTTTTGAAGTTCTTGGAGGTACGTGTTTCAACACTGTGTCGCTCGTGTTTTTATGATTTTCACTAGCAATATTTTGTGTTTCGACCCATGCTGTGGTATACTATGGGGATGCTAGTCCTACTGACGCTAAGGTATTGCTGATGAACCCAGGTAGTGTTGACGAGCATATGTACTTGATACTTCCAGCTCTTGTACGCTTATTTAGGCCTGATGTCTCAAATGCTCCCTTAGAAATCCGGCGTGCAGCTATCAAAACTCTTGGTCGACTGCTTCCTTGTGTGCAGGTATTCAAATTGACCCACATGTGTGCATAAATTTCGTTTTTATTTAACTTTGTTCGTGATACACATGTTTTATTCTCATTGTTCTCAGTATGTTTTCTTCTGCCTTGTCACCAATTGTGATGTAAGATAATTGTAAACATACTGTAGGAGGTTAATTCAGTTGCTTCGTTTTCTGATTAGGTGTCTGGACTCGTATCATCAGTTTTACTCCCTTTGACCAGGGTTCTTGACGGGTAAATTTCTTCAAAAACTTGGAATTCGGTCTGGCGATGTGTGCATATATACATTAACGTGGACGTTGGTCTATCGATATATATTTTTACTCGTATTTGAACTTTTCGAGATTCTCCCTTAAATACCCATTTTCTTGGTATTCACCGTTAGGTTTCTTGGTTTCTTGGAGGAAAATATGTACAGATTGACGCTATCGTTAACCAACTTTTTCCTTTATACCCACCGATTTCTTTGTTTTATGTGATCCATTAACTTCAAAGTGTATGCACAGAAGCATTAATGAGTTACGCAAGGACGCTGTGGATACTATTTGTGCATTAGCGGTGGCAATGGGAGCTGATTTTGCTTATTATGTGCCCTCTGTGCGGAAACCCATGTTACGTCATCATGTACATGTAGGTTACACTTTCGTGGAACGTGTTTCTTTTTGTATTCAGTACTTCTCATTTTTTTCTAGTCATCATTGAGTGTTTCAATTTTTTCAAAAAAATATTAATTAATTCATCGGAACAAAATGACTATGATCTGTGCCATGAACAGCATCCACAGTTTGATGCTTTGGAGACTCGTTTAAATCGAAGGGAGCCCGCATACATGGATGTCCATTCCACTCCTCCGGCGACTGTACCACCTGTTGTTGCGTACGGAAGTATTCCGTCGTCACCATCGTTCCACAATCTTAATTGGGATGGCGAAGTCTGTGATGGGGAGAATTTTGATTCTTCTGGAAATTCACGTCCTCTGACGGTACTGTAATAATGCCTCAGTCATCTTGCCTTTTTTTGTTTTTTTTGTTCACCCCTTCTATGTGGTCAGTATAGTCGGAGGACACCAGAATAGGTCGTATTTTTAAAATATAAGCCAATCTGTGAATTGTTTTTGAGCAGTGAGTTGTATCTTCTTCCCAGAAGTTTTCTGTGAAGCGGGTCTCATGCATTTTGACATGAGACATTGTGGTGGCAGGTGAATGAAGGGGCTTTGAGAATCGCATGGGAGTCCAGTCAAAGAAGCACGAAAGAGGACTGGACAGAATGGATGCGTCATTTCAGTGTGGAGCTTCTTAAAGAGTCCCCGTCACGCCCACTGCGAACCTGTGCAGGCCTTGCCCAATTACAAGTGAGTGTCTTTAAAAAGACGTTCTGAAATTTATACTCCGATTGTAGTTTTGGAAGTTTATGTTGTTAGAAGCTTACGTACATACTTGAATACAGTATTTATCTTTTTGTCTTACATGTTTTGGGAGCTGCATATAATTGAAATGTGCTTGTAATTTTCAGGATTACTGTTTGATTTTCATCGTGGCCATCACCTAGACAATTATTGAAGTTAATTTTTGTGTGTTTCTTCTCAATCATCTCACATGCCATTTACATGGGTTGTTTGTAGCCTTTTGTGGCCCGGGAACTGTTCGCAGCAGGTTTTGTCAGCTGTTGGTCACAGCTTAACCTTCAACACCAGGAACAGCTAGTGAGGAGTCTAGTGATTGCATTCTCTTCGCCTAACATACCTCCTGAGATTCTGGCGTCTTTGCTTAATCTGGTGATTTGTCTTAAACTCCATAACCATTTGTTACATCGTTTGGACTGGTTTTTAGATAGGAAAGCTTTAGTTTTGGAAACTCTTCTAATTCAAGTGGGTCGTTTCATGAGATTAGGCTGAGTTCATGGAGCATGACGAAAAACCACTTCCAATTGACATTCGAACACTTGGACAACTTGCAGAGAAGGTATGTTTTTGTCGTCTGTATGACTTTGACCAATGAGGGGTCATTGATCGTCGTAGTTTATGGAGTAAATTTACAATGTAAAAAGATTCAAGAGTAGAATCTGCATTTTGTAGCATTCTTCATGTTGCCTTTGGTACGTTGATAACGTAATGCTTATGGTGCCTTTGTGGACAGTGTCATGCTTACGCTAAGGCTTTGCACTACAAGGAAATGGAATTTGAAGGAGCACAGTCTATGGATTCTGACGCAATCCAGGCCTTGACTGTGGAGACCCAGCCTCAGCCTGTTTCAGCGGTTGAGGCCTTGATCCACATTAACAATCAATTGAACCAACATGAGGTATATTCTTTGATTTTGTTGATGACCCTGTACAGAAATTTTTACGCGGTGACATTCTTAGATTTTGACTCAAGGATATCTACAGATGTACTTAAATGCATTGTTGCAGCGAATGTTTATGGTAATCATTATTTGTGCAAATTCTTTTCTCTCTATTATTGTGGCAGGCTGCCATGGGGATCTTGACATATGCACGGAAGCACCTGCGAGTTGATCTCAAGGAGTCATGGTATGACACCTATTACTCACTCCATCTTGCCTCTTACTGCTGTGAGTCTCAAAGAGTGGAAATAGTTAATATAAGATTTTTCTGTTAATGTGTGAAATTCCTGAAGCCATCTTCTGGATGCTTGCACAGGTATGAAAAGCTGCAACACTGGGAGTTGGCCTTGGAGGCTTACAAGAAAAAAGCTTTACAGTGCCAGTCTAACCCGGATGAACTGCAGTCAGCTACACTAGGTTTGTATCTCGGTGCATGTAATCTTCTTAATGGTGAAGTGCTGCGTAATTTGGATTAGTGTTTAGTAGGATTTGTTATAGAGGTCAGATCTGAAACCAGAAAATGACAATCATTATTATAAAATCCAAAGAGACTGAGAGTTGTGTGTTGCAGGACGAATGCGGTGTTTGGCAGCACTGGCACGATGGGAGGAGCTGAGCATTCTATGTCGAGACAGTTGGAACCCTGTTGAAGTTTCTCGTTGCCACGAAATGGCACCTATGGTTTGTAACTCAAACCTGAATTGTGTTTAATCGCCATTTTACTGTTATTCGAACCACTTTGTTTTCTCAAGCCGGATTCCCATTCTCAGTTCCTAGTTGTACGTGCTTTTAAAATTCTTAATAGAGTGCGAATTTGAGTTAGCAATTGAGCTTCATGCAGGAACTACATCCTCTTGCTATAACAAATGATGACTCTTTCTTTAACAGATGACAAATTTCTTTACCATCTCGTTTGTTTTAATCCAGTCCAGCGAGTTCAATTGCTCTGATCATTGATCCGGATCCATATTGCCTGCAGGCTGCTAGTGCTGCGTGGAACATGGGAAACTGGAAGGAGATGGAAAAGTATGTTACTCTTTTAGAAGATGGAACTAACACGCAGGTCCATTTACCGACTCTGAATACAAGCGGGAGCGGCAATGGAGCAAGTGACGGTGCCTTCTTCAAAGCTGTTCTATGTGTTCGACGCAGTGTCGACGCAAAGCGTCAATCAGTAAGTTCCAATTCGAACACCAATATACACTGGTTTTAGGCGCACTACGTATACTTTGTAAGACTTCTTATTACGTTACAGTTGGATCTAATTAGTCTTGCTGAATGTCGTGGTATTTGATGTGTTCGTTGACAGGATGCAGTAGATCCCAACTCCCCAAGGTACAGGGAGTTAATTGCTGGATTTAATAGAGAAATCAATGAATCCATGCAAGAAGCTAGTCAATGCGTGCAAAAAGCACGTAATTGTTTGGCCACCGAGCTTGCAGCGCTGGTACGGTGTTTTGTAACGTGTTTTTAATAAACTATGTTGTGGAGAGGGGAAAAGAAATAGTTGCAATAGTTATACGCTCTTCGTAGTAATTAAGATATAATTATTAGTGATTATCATTGCAGGTCACCATGAAACATCTCGTATAATTACAGCGAGGGTTGCTTGTTGACCTTTAGACGATCATTAAGTCTTTAAAATGGTTATTTGGGCTTCATATCCATCTGTTCACATGCTGTTTGCCTTTTCTTTGTCTGTTACTTGCTGTGCATACAATTGCTTCAATCTTCTCCTTCCCTCATTTACTGGACAGGTCTTAGAAAGTTATGACAGGGCGTACAGCAACATGGTTCGGGTGCAACAACTTTCTGAGCTTGAAGAAGTGAGAATCAATCCTTTCACTTCGTTTTGCTTAACGTCGATTTTGTAATTAACTTGACATCTTCTGCATTTTAGTTTTATGAGAATCTTACTATCAGAATTTTGTGCTGATTGTTTTGATTGATAACGCTAAGTCTTTTCTACTCATTACATCTAATGAGTGCTCGATTCCATGAGCAGGTTATGGAGTACCTCTCTTTACCTTCACCAAAAGAACCTCGTGCTGATTTGATTCGGAAGATGTGGCGGGATCGCATGCATGGCACCAAGCGGAAAGTTGAGGTGAGTTCTTGCATAGAATGTTTTTCAACAAGACGGAGTGTATGTTGTTTTATATTACAACAATGTACCATTTAGGAACTGTATGAGATGTATTGAGCATTTGCCTTGGCTCACCTATGTCTCCACACTGGTTTATCTTGGTGGTCAGGTATGGCAATCACTTTTGGCTGTTCGGACATTGGTGCTCCCACGAACTGAAGATACGGAAACCTGGCTTAAATTTGCTTCCTTGTGTCGCAAAAGCGGCCGAGACCGCCAAGCTCGATCAACCTTGGTGAAACTTCTTCAGGTTGAATATCTTTACCCTATCCTCTAGTTTATATTGTGATTCTGATGAACGAAGCAGGCCAGTTTTAGTATCTCAGGGGTCTCACTGCACCCCGACGACGATATGTACTTCACTCTTTATAATTTGATATTCTGTATCCCACTGGGGTCTTTAAGGAAAGTTAGGGGGGTTAGACGCCATTATTATCTAGTGACTCCATCTCTCTGCAAATCTCTTTTGGTTGTGTTGATGCTTACACTCACCATGGGTGGATAAGGATCGTTGTGCTAAAGTGCTTGCTTTTGTGCTTGACAGTATGATCCTGAAACAAGCCCACCTGATGACCTTCCATTCGCGAGTGCTCCACAAGTGATGTTGGCTTACTATAAGTATCAGTGGTCTCTTGGGGATGAAACACAAAGGAGAGACGCGTTCCTTCGGCTTCAGGTTTGTATTCTGTTTCGCGTTAAGTTTTGTAGAGAATCGTCAAGCTGGATGCAATTGTTAAGGTTTGCTGACCATGGTACTTTTCGTATTCTCTGAAACAGGAAATAGCAGCGGATTTGACAGAGCAAAACGTGGCTGAAGTAAGCGGGTTGTTTATGCCAAATGCATCCTCTGATGTTAGCTCGACTGTTGGGGGTGTGCCTCTTCTAGCGCGTGTACATCTGAAGTTAGGCGCATGGCGTTGGCACCTCAACCCTTCGTTAGACGATGAGACCGTGCGAGGTACACAGATAATTCAGGGTTTCATTTGTATCGATTGACCATGATAGGTTCATTCATTTTGTGACTCACCAGCATCTTGCTCATTTTGTCACCATAATTCTTTCTAGCTATGATAAGCATATGAGTTATGTACGCTGACATTAATGTCTTTGCCTACTAGGGATTCTGAAAGACCTGTCGTCTGCAACACAGTATGCCAGCAAATGGGCAAAGGCATGGCATAAATGGGCTCTCTTTAACACAGCCCTTATTGTCTCCTACACTTCTCGAGGTCAACATGCTGCTGCTGGTCGCCATGTGGTTTTGGCTATTAGTGCTTACTTTCGATCAATTGCCAATGGAGCCGCAGACAATGGCCGAGATGGTTGTCTTCAGGTTATAAGCAATCTTTTGATTTTTAGTCCTCTTGTACTCGCCGCTGGCGATTACTGTTTTTTGAAGCTATCTCTATCCTTCAAACCACATCTTTCTTTGGGCCTCAATTTACAACATTTTCATTTACATACATCATGGGCATGTTGTTGATCCACTGCGGGTTGTTGTTTTCAACAGGATATATTGAGGCTGCTCACCCTCTGGTTCTACCATGGTGCCTCACGAGATGTGCAAGATGCACTGCAGAAGGGTTTTGATTTAGTGCCAGTTGAGACATGGTTGGCTGTGCTTCCTCAGATAATTGCTCGTATTCATTCCAATACTCCTGCGGTCCGCACACTTATTCAGCAACTTCTTGTTCGGATTGGTCGAAGTCACCCACAGGTATCATTGGTTTTCTTGATTAGGATTCTCTGTGGCCGAGATCAGGCATGTTGAGCTCTGATTATTTTGCTCTAGTTTGTAGTGTTTTATGTGATTAGTTGAAGTCAATCGCCTACGAAGAAATCGTTCAGCACTTAGTAACGTCATGCCTAAAGTGCAATATCATTTTACGCTTCACCTTTTTTGTTCTGCTCTCTACGTGCAGGCGCTGATGTATCCACTGCTAGTGGCTTGCAAATCCATTAGTACACTTAGGCAAAAGTCTGCTCAATATGTTGTTGATCAAGTGCGTCATCACAGTGGAACACTTGTTGAGCAGGTAATTTCTTAGAAAAGGAAACAGTGTACCAGAAGTTTCTTGCTTTCTTTGCTTTCTTGCTCTAGAATATATGTTAAGCTTTGTTTAGCATTGTGTATAAATTAAGTCAGTGGTTGTCATTGCTACTTATAGTCATATTCTTCCCATATCATTTAGAGGGTCAAATGTTTTTGTAGATGAACGCGTGTTATTTGGACTAAAACGCCGGTATTATTTTCATGCTGCGGGTTTGACATCTTTGACGGTGAACTGTATTTTGTGCAGGCCCAGCTGGTCTCCAAAGAGCTCATACGTGTTGCAATACTTTGGCATGAGATGTGGCATGAAGCTCTTGAAGAAGCCAGTCGCTTATATTTTGGGGAAAGGAATGTGGATGCTATGTTCAACTGCCTGCAACCTTTACATGCTCTACTCGAACGCGAAGGTCCTGTGACAGTTAAGGAACAACAATTTGTTCAGAACTATGGACGCGAACTTGCAGAGGCAAACGAATGTTGTACGAAGTACAAGCGGACCGGGAAGGAAGCGGAACTTACTCAGGTTTCACTATAAATCGGCCACTAACAATCTGCCTTAATATTCTTTAATTTGCAAAATCACTACTAGGCATGCTTGCGTTATAACTCTTACTTATTCTAACTTCCGTTTGCCTGTAGGCCTGGGATCTCTATTATCATGTATTCAAGCGCATCAATAAGCAGCTTCCTAGCTTGACAACATTAGAGCTTCAGGTAATTTCTTGTACCATTTAGTTACTTGGGCTTAATCTTCATATTTTATTTGTATTCTACTACGTTGATCATGAAACAATCGTATAATACGGTACATCGATTCTAACAAACAGTAACACATCCTAACTCTTTCTGGTATTATGGATGTGTTTCTGATAACAGACTGTGTCACCCGAGCTTTTAGAAGCTCGAAATTTGGAGCTAGCTGTTCCTGGAACATATCGGGCTGGTTAGTATTTCAATCTCTGCTTGACAAGTGTTTTATTGTCCCATTTTTCATGGATTGGTGCAACGGGAGTCTTTGTTATCTTAATGATTGACATAAAACGCTGATCTTCATATATTTGCTACAAAACAGCTGCGCCTCTTGTCAAGATTGCGGGGTTCTCCCACCAACTTGTTGTCATCACTTCCAAACAGCGTCCGAGGAGATTGACCATCCAGGGCGACAACGGGAAAAACTACGATTTTCTTCTTAAAGGGCATGAAGACTTGCGTCAAGATGAGCGCGTCATGCAGGTTTGGCAGTCTTACTACTGTCCTGCATTCGGTTTTGAAGATGAACTTGGTGCTCTACGCAATGTCACCTTACCGTCTTCTTTATTCTTCTATGAATCTCTCATTCTCTTAGATTTGATGTGAATGAATCCCTTTGGTCTGTCTGATGTAGTTATTTGGGCTGGTAAACACACTGTTGGGGAATTCACGTCTTACTGCGGAGAAAGACCTATCAATTCAGCGTTATGATGTTATACCCCTTTCACCCAATAGCGGTCTTATTGGCTGGGTACCGAATTGTGACACTCTTCATCACCTTATCCGCGAATATCGTGATGCTCGCAAGGTGTGTAACCGATGCTATGTTTTGGTGATTTAGTGAGCCTTGCAGAGCGTTTTTGAATGGCTTGTGCAATTATTTTGTGTGATGATACCTCTTTGTTTCAAATTTTGCAATATCCTGCAAGTAGAAGGAAAAGCTCAAGAACTGTGTATTACTTATTTCTCATTATAAATCACTAAGGTTTCTTGAATTATACAGGTCCTTGTGAACGCGGAACACCGAACAATGCTGGGGTTTGCTCCTGATTATGAAAGGCTCACACTCATGGCTAAGGTTGAAGTATTTGAGCATGCTTTGGACAATTCACTTGGGAATGACCTGGCTAAGGTATTACTCGATACTTTCCCTTGGTGATGTTTCGTTTTATCACTGTAGGATCACTATATAATACATGTCTATCTCTGGTGAGTAAGTTGTATTTCAGTTTGTCGTTCTTAAGACTGTGTCTGGGGTGTTTTTTCAAGGTTTTATGGCTGAAAAGCAGAAGTTCTGAGGTCTGGCTTGACCGTCGGACTAATTACACCCGCAGCTTGGCTGTCATGAGCATGGTATGATTATCCCTGTATATGCATGCACTTTTTGCAAAGTATGTAGTGATATTGAAGGGTAGTCTGTTGTTCCTGAGTGCTTTTGGATAGGTTAAGCGTTCACTTCATACCAGTTTATGTTTATGAAAGGTAACGCGCGGCCAGATTTTTTCCTGATTTTCCTTGAAACGTCTATCATGGTTGACTGGCAGGTTGGATATTTGCTTGGACTTGGAGATAGACATCCTAGCAATCTCATGTTGGACCGTCATAGGTACTGCCCTTTCTGATGTTCCAATTTTATTAATGTTGAGTTGGTTTTGGTTCGAGGAATCTGAATTGTGAATGGTTTACTTTGCTCTTGTATGCCGTTCCTTCCAAATACACTGATTAGCTGTGCAGATTTTTTTATTTGAGTTTAATGGTATATTTTCTCCCCATTGCTGATTTTGTGCTGGGTACATTGCAGTGGGAAGATCCTGCACATTGATTTTGGTGATTGCTTTGAAGCATCTATGAATCGTGAGAAATTTCCGGAGAAGGTGGATCTTTCACCCTCAACATCGGTCAACCCAATGCGTTACCAATTCTCTTGTTGATGCACATCACATTCTGTGTCCTAAAACTATATATATATATATATATATATATATATATATATATTTCTTTTCTTTTCTTTTCTTTTTCTTTTTCTAATTTCTTGTTCGTTCTCAATAAGAACTGTTTTTGGTCTCCAGGTGCCATTCAGACTTACTCGTATGCTTGTGAAAGCCATGGAAGTGAGCGGAATAGAAGGGAATTTCCGATCCACTTGTGAGAATGTCATGCAAGTGTTGAGGACCAACAAAGATAGTGTGATGGCAATGATGGAAGCTTTTGTTCATGATCCCTTGATTAATTGGCGACTATTCACATTGCCCGAGCCACCTCACATAACTGGTCAGGGTCGAGCTGGAGGACATGGAAATACAGAGGAAGGGAATAGAACCTCTAATATTCCTTCTCCCCCACAACGCGGTGCACGAGAGCGTGAATTGCTTCAGGTTTGGTTCCTTTTCTGATGAGTAGGTTTGGTTCTACATTTCTTTCGGAGAGCACTTATCTCACAGTACTTTAAACTCAAGCATTACAGTGAATCCTACCTGTTCAAGAATTGGAAATTGCTTGCATCCAGTGGCATTGTTGTAAGCCAATGTGTTTGGAGTTGACTTCCATTTTTTAATTGGGTAGATTCGATGTTTTGCACATCTTCCTGATTTGTACCTTTATGTGACCGATTCTTTAACTTTGATTTTTTCAGGCCTTGGGACAGCTTGGAGACGCAAATGAAGTGCTAAATGAGCGAGCGGTGGCTGTTATGGCACGCATGAGTAATAAATTAACTGGTCATGATTTCATGCCCACCAGCACAGCCTCACACTTACTTGAGCCCAGAGGCGATGGCCGGGAACTGGAGCCTGGATTGAGTGTCAAAACCCAGGTGCAGAAGCTGATTACTCAGGCCATGTCTCATGAGAATCTTTGCCAGAGCTATGTCGGGTAAGAATTCTCACTCTGGCTTTTTTACATTAACTCTTAGCACTTGCAAGGCTTTCTGTGACTTTTTAATGTGGCTGTGATGCTCATGATATGTTCTGCAATTTTTGAACCTCTGGTTGAACATCCAGTTGAACCTTGGCCTTCCTGTCTTGGTGTGAATATTCGGACTGGACTATCTTATTATTGAGACTCAGCTTTTGTGCTTGACATTTGGTTTTGGCAGGTGGTGCCCGTTCTGGTAGGAGAAACTAAAGATGAGCATATGATAACTTGTGGCATATTATGCCCCTCTACAAATACGTCAATACTCTACAAGTCAAAATCATTTTTATCTTTCGCCTTCAGGCTACAAAAATTTGGTTACACCGTCTTGTCCGTTACGTTATTTGGTCCAGAATGTACTCTACATGGCCGCCTTAATGGAGCTTTGAGGATGTCACCAACATCTGAGGCGCATACATCTACGCTGTGTCGTGATGCTTGATCTGAAACTTGTTGCTATTCAGCGGGGAGATGGATTTGTGTTGGATTTTTATCCTCGCAATATTCACACCAAGGCCGGCAGGCCAAGATGGTACCTACATTCATGCCTGAGCTCGTCCAGTTTCCCCGCCAACTTGAAGTCTTATGTGATGACCAGCTCATCCACTTGGTAGCTCCCTTCTCTTGAATCCTCTAATTAATGTCTGATTTAATTCATGTCCTAAACTGAGCTTGACTCTGGTGCACACTGTATACTGTAGACATATTATGTTACCAGTATGAACTTCCGTTTCATGGTGGAGTCATGCATTTGATAAGGCTTCTTTATGCGATCTCTACATGTTTCTGCAAGTGTTGGGAACCTCTTTAGCATGGCGATGTCCAAGAGGATTTCACACCAATCTGCATAATGTGTGCATCCATTCCGGAGACATTTCAATGACTCTCGAGAGTGGCTTATGGAGTGTCTTCGCAATACTGACCAAATTCTACTCTGGCTAATAGAGTGCGTTATTTTGAATATTTGCAGGCTTTCTTGGAATATCGACTTCAACAGAATAGTCCGTAACGACCTCTTTGCTCTATCACTTGATTAAGTTGCCTCTAGAAGCTACCATACGTTGATGTCGGTTCCATCAGCTTAGTGTTGGATTTGTGTTGTTTTTAGTTTGCCATGTGGGTTCAACATAGGTTTAACCAAAGAGAACGTGACTTGTGTCACTTCTCAATTTTAGTCAAGGGAATTTTGAATTATTTATGTAAGAAACCGACATCACTGTAGGGTATCAAGAATGTTGCGGCGACAGAAACCTTTCCTAACACATCTGTGCGGCATTCTTGTAACACCACAGTCGAACTTCATCGATAGAAACTGATAGTGATGAAATCAGGTAGTGGTATGTTTTGCTTTTCTTGTACATGAGAGCCCTTCCAGGCTATATCTGCTATTTCTGTACAAAATTTATCTTGTATATACTTTCGTCTCAAGTCCTGCTCCTTCAATGTCGTAATCTATTCGAGTACACACACACACTCACCTCCCTTTTTGGAAATTGCTGAACTGAAACGTTGCAATTTACAATTCAGTACCACGGTTTAGATTTGCTTTGCCTCATGTTATTTGCCTAGCTCTCGAATGATGCTATCTCACGCACGTTGAAATTCCGTGGAATTGTCAAAAAATTGTGACTTGAAGCTTGGGAATGGAATGAGTTCTTATACCTTAGTTTAAGTAGATGCATTGGATTCTGGCGCATTTTAACAACTGAAACATCAGTACTTATGGTACTCTTAAGTGAATGGGCATGTACACCTTTTGATGTGCCTTTTCGAGAGGCTTAGGAGTAAAATATCTTTTTACTCACATCTAACTCTGCTTCTTTCCTTTTTCTGATAGAGCAGCAAGGGCAAACTCTGTGCAAGGTTCCCTCAAGCATGGTTGTGATGTTAGAGAAAGAGATTTAAATCACCAATTTTTTTTGTAGTTTTTTTGGAAAAAAATCCCTTTCTTTTTTTTCTTTTTTTTTCTTTTTCTTTTTCTTTTTTTAATATTTCAGCGTCATTCTGGATTTAAATTTTTATTCTTTAAAATAATCCCCATATATTATTAGAGGTCATTTTTGTACCATCATCTTCTCACTCTCCTTTGTTTGTTTTGTATTTTCTTCTTTGCAACAGAATGATCTAATTTTAGTGCGTTGTGAATGAAAATTTAAAATCTAACCTTCATGTGGTATCTTTCATAGAACTTCAAGTCTTTAAATACCTCCACTTCTTCCATTAAGCTCAAATTAATCTGTAATGTATACGTGTGTTTTATCAAACATCACCTTGCACCTTGTCTTGAAGAGGAATTAACAATTTGATCAAATGAAAGGGAATTGTTTTGAGCATAAAATATATTGCACATCACACCATTCTTTTTCACCTACTTACAGTTTTGTTGTGCCCCAGTTTCTTTTCCCACATATAAGATCTCTATAAGAAAATTATTAACCTCAAATCCATTTCAAATTAATCTCTTTTTCTTTTTCTTTTTCTTTACATATGATTGAACCCTTGTGGTTTCATGTTCAAGTCAAGGTGCAGCCCATAACCAAAACAAAAAGCCTTAAAATTATGTTAGCTTTAAAAATAGGACAAAACTTATTTGAAGTCAATATGCACAAACTTGTATACTAGTTCATATAAAAAATTGCACTTATCTTATCTATTTTCATTCAATTCCAAATAGTGATAGTAACAATTACAAGTTGGAATTAGCTTCAAGGTCTCTAACAAAAATCAAAAGTCATTTATTCAAACATTCTTTTTTGTTACACCGCTAAGAATGACATAGACATAAGGCTTCAAAAGACTTGGCAAACATATATACGTACATATATACATGAATATGTATATAACTTGTGACACCACATTACTGTGTTCATTGGGCAAACATCTTATTTATCTCCTTCTTTATCCAATCAACCATCAATGCATTGGCTTTGTGTAGCTTTATAGCCTCCCCCCACATCCGAGACATGAAGCCAAATATATTGTTTCATGGTATTGCTTTGTTTGGGACCCAATTTAGGGTAAAGAATTAGGTGTGTCTGAGGATCAGTGACAAAAAGTTTATTATCATTATTTATACTGTTAATGTATCCAAACAGACTATTAATAATATATCATGGTGTCATTTATTTTAGTTTATTTTATTTTATTTTATTAATTTTAAGAATTCGAAAATGGATTGACCCTTTATGTGTGTGAATTGTCATTCTTTAAATGATGCAATGTTTGTGCACACAACACTAACACAGTCATCAAAAAGTTAACCTTGTTTTGTTATTAAAAAATAAATAAAAGAAAAAATTATTGTGTGAACAAATGAGCGTCATAATTTCTCCCCACGTATTCAAATTAAAAAAACATTCCCACGTCATCCCTATGTGCCTTTTACTTTTTAGCCACTCATCCAGTCGTTTGGCTACAGAGCCCAGCTACTTACTAAAAAAATTTGTTGATAATTTTGGGTGAATTATTTGTTTGGCAAGGGACCCATCTCATGAAGCAATCGACACAGAAGGTGCCAGCTCGGATGAGACCAACCCAAACTCCAGGTACTCATGTTGACGTGGCGCACGTGAGGATGTGCCTAATATTAGTATGAGGTGTGATCCACTGGGTGATTCAAAATATAGTATTGGAAATGGCTCTGTAATTTGCCTACCTGACTATTTCTGAGTACATGGATAGGAATGGTTGATGTTGTTGGCCTTCCATCCCAGAGGTTTCAGTTTGTTTGTGTGGGTTTGTCTCTCCGGAGTGACTCTTCGAAGTATATTCCACTTCTGCTGCTCTTGTGCATAATAGTTTGTGTTTATATTTATTTCTTTATTTATTTATTTATATCTTTAGAATAGTGGGTCTTCAGCAGAAATCATGGTGTAACGGCAGGTAACCATTTCGTTACCTTATTCGAGTGAAAACGAGCCTTGAACATTAACATGAGCTTGAACTCACGTATTTCTATTAACAGCACACATTTACATGAAAATACCTCAGAACATCAAAAGTTCAAAACCCTAATTTTATCTCCTGCCAACATTAACACTAAAGTTTACCCAGTCACATAAATGTGGATTGTTCGATGTATTCCAGAATACCAGGGTAACGCTTTTTCCTTCAATTCAATGTTTCAAATATAAATATGCGGACATTCAAAAAAAAAAAAATTTTTTTTAAATTAGGGGGTGATATTGGGGGGGACCAGGGAAACTTTGGTGGGTTTTCCCTGTAAGGATCAGGGGTTTGTTTTTTTAGGAGGTCCGTTTCGGGGTTTTTTTTTTTCGCAGTGAGCCAATTTTAGCAGCGATGAAAGGGCTCCCCAGTAAGCGGGGCTGAGAAATTGGGAGGGAACGGGGGGGGGGGGGGGGGCGAGGCTCGGAGAGCAGGGATAGTAAACCCACCAGCGAGGGATCTAGGCACAGACAGGGAGAGAGCCCGAGGAGCAGGGCGAGGAGGACGCACTGGCAGCGACGATGCACACACACACGCACACACAGCATCGCACAAACTCTCCTTCCCTTCCTCCCATTCCATTCAATCACGGACAAGACAAGCCCATATTCGTGGCATCTAGATCAGGAATCCCTGCCAAACTCGCTGCTTACTATCCGCTAGATCTCACTCTTCCTTACTAAGAGAGAGAGAGAGAGAGAGAGAGAGAAGCCCAGCGTTCAGATCCTGCACTTCCGAGTGCATTCAACGCGGAGTTTGGTGAACTGTTGGATCGGCGAGTGCCTGCTAATACCAGGTGGGTTACCTTGCATTGTGGTTGAACAGCATTTGCGTGTGTGTGTGTGTGTGGGTGCGTGCGTGCGTGCGTGTTGGGAGTCTGGTGGAGACAGCTTTGATTGAGGCTTCAGGTTTAGAGCAAACCCAGGGTGGGTGATGGATGTCCATTAAGGACCGGGTGCTTGTTAGGCAATGTGGCGATGCGGGCGTCGATTATTTGATTTTGTTCAGACAGGTGCTTGTAGGTCAACGATTGTGAGCTCTCCAGACAAGGTTTTTTATTTATTTTTTATTTTTTATTATTGCATGGATCAGGAGGTGTCCGAGTTCTAAGTTGGGATTCTCTGGGGATTTTATGCATGAGTTCATTCGCGGAGGTATTGTGGCGCATAGTTGTAGCTTGACAAGTTAGCCGCGCTGTTTCGCTTGAGAATGGTGCAGACTTGTGTGTTAATTTGGAGTTGCATGGGTCCGCATTTGAAGGGAGATCGCTAATTCTGGTCTGTGTCCATAGCTCAGCGAATTGGGTAGTGTCTTTTACGCAATCTATTGTATGAGGACAAGGTTGATGAGGACTATGTCACATTCTATGCGCAGGAAGGAATGTGCTGGCGGAGCACGTAGTGTAGCGTAAACTGGTGTTGCATTTCAATGTGATCGGGACTCGTGGTGAGATTCAATACTTCATTCTAACGGAGCGGCTGGAACCCTTGATTTAGGAGGAAAAATTTCTGTACAGCGATAGAGAGGCACTGGACTTCATTCACATTGTTCAGGGTTAGTGTCTTCCGAAGCTGAGTAGGGAGGTTAACGGTTATGTGAGCACAGTAGTGGTGAGATTCGCTCCAGGTGGAGAGAGGAGCAATCGAAGTTCGTTTTAGCTGGATTGATGAGTAGAGAAGAGAATCATCCCGAGGACAAGAAGCTCTCGGCTGTGAAGAGCTGGTTCACACGGAGTATCAGTTTTGGAGGTGTCCATGGCTCCAGCACTTCTTTGGCTGCGGCTGCAGCGTCGAAAGGCCAATCTGAAGGAAATGGTAATAATGGAGAAGATCAAGATACTTGGGGAGGCTTTAACACCACATTGAAGCAGCTATCCATGAGGTGGGGCGATATCTGCGAGACTTTTTGTTTCATCCTCGTGAGAAACACACGTTGTGAGGATCATTTTCTGTTGCTGCGGTGTTTCAAGAAAATGAACTATGCTTTAAATAACCATAAATATCTTTCTATTTTCAGAAAGAGTTTAGAGGTACCGAACTAAGTGATTGTGGATGGTAATAAAACGATATACTCCTGCTGGTGTGCAGGAGGACGAAGGTTTCCATGGAGACGGAAAAAGAGGGTGTGCCTGGGAGCCCTTCCATGACGCCTAGGAACGTCACTCCTTTGGTTCCTCTCACCCCGCTCAGGTGGAAATCCAACCCCTCTGAGCAAGACGAGCTGCAGAGTGCTGCCGCTACAGTAGAACGCTCTAGGCTTGGATTGAGTGCATCAAATGTCACTGTGTCATCCGAAGAGCACTGTAGGAGCAATCTGCCTACGGATGGGAGTGAAGTTGAGAACAAAGAGGATCGGGATACGACTTACTTTCTGATACGTAGACTGTGAAGTTA